GGGGGGGGGGGGAATGCATTTAGTCCCAAAGACTTCGACTTTTGGTCCTGTTGATTTAATATTTTGCTGCAATTTCAATCATTTCATTTGAGGACTACAATTGCAACAAAATTTTAAATTACAGGTTAGATGTAATTTTAAATTGCAACAACAGGCAAAATGTTAGAATATTGGGACTGAAATTGCTATGGCGTTAGTCCATCAGGACTAAAAGAGCAATTCAGCCTTTTTTTTGAATTGAAAACAAAGTTGTAAAGGACTCACATTTGTAAGCTCTAAAACGGTTCTCTCTGGAATTTCTCCGAGCAGTAAGTGGACAATGACGGCCCACTTGTTGCATTGGATTCGAAAAACGAGAGCCGAAGCAGGTGCTTTCCGGGCGGCTTGAAGAAGGGACTCTTTAGCATCAGTGTACTCTAACTGAATTGTTCGGATTTCTCCCAGGTAAAAGAGGTATCGACAGAACTAAAGGGGGCACAGATAGACATGATGAGAGCAGTGAGATCTCAACGACATTTAACTATAATAATAAAACTTAGGTCTCGACATGAATAATGCATGAAATACCTCAAAATGTAAACTTTAAAGGTAATATCATTCAAAGCTTGGCAGAAAAAGAAAAAGAAAATTAAGAGCAGTAAAGTGGCACATATTTCCCTTTCCTTCAACAAGGTAAAAATGATGTTTTTCATACTGAAGATGACTTTTTTCAGTATCATGTGATCATGATGTCATCAAATTAGCTAATAATAGCATTTATATTTGCCTAACCAATGATTGTTGATAGATAAACTAATTGTCTTTATAATCAAACATGTTAAACATGTAATGCAAAAAAAGTACTTCATCTTATCAGTGACTTGCCTGCTGGTGTTCGAGTGAGCTTCAAAACGAGGAGCCTTTGATCTCAATTTCTCTGCTTGATCATATAAGTTGTAATGGAGGTAATTTCTCAACAACAAATTCAGAAGAGTTTCCTGAATTATTATATAATAATGCTACAGATCACGACAAAACTACTACAAAGATAGCAAATAAATGCTCACCCCCCTGTAACCACCTCCATATCATGCTCATCCTCCTGTAACCATCAGTAGTTTAATAAGAAAAGTTAAAACATTAGTGTATGTACTTAGCTCTATATGTGTAACATCACCCTCAAGTTGCACTTCCAAATTATCTTAGTTACACTTTTATACGCAGCTAGTCGTATACAATTTGGTTTTAAAAAGATTTAAAAAAAAATAGAGTATGGGAAAAAACAATATTTTTCCATAGAACAGTAAAAAAGTGGAAATTAGGGAGAAATAGTCACCTACATAGCAACTATAACAACTGGAGTTGACAATATCATGAGCTAAAACTTAAAACCAATTTCCAAATGCCCATTTTTCATCCAAAGAAATACGATACGTATGAGAGACCACTTAGAAAATTCTCATAAAATTAGATTGCCACATCAAGATAAGTTGCTCAGTTCATACCTTAGGAACATACGAAGACAAGCGTGAATGCGCCTCGGAACCAGTCCAGAGTGCAAAGTTGAAAAATTCAGAAACCACAGAAGCATTAAGCTTCGTTCTCATTTGAATTGTCCACCGAATTGCCCTAACGATCCTCCTAACCTCTCGGGTGTAAGCTCCCTCTCAATCACTGCGACGACGTCTTTCAAATCTATTACGAACAATCAAATAAAATAGAAATGTGAAACTTCAATTTCTAACCCTTTTACAAGGCAGAGGAAATCAGGTAAAATGGATATTCATAGGAAACTAAATTTAGATGAACCAGATCACCTAAATGGGCCTAACCAGACCATTTTTTACTCTAATGTAGCTAATGATTCTCAGAATGACACAACGACATAACCACATTTTGATTAAAAAAAAAATTTAAAAAAATCTAAGCTCTAAATTGAAATTCTACAACTCTACTCACGTTGAATGGTGGATGGCGAAGAGTCGGAAATGGAGTTGGTCGTGGCAGGCTGCTGCTCCTTCATCTCCACGTCCTGAGCCATCGTTGCCAAAGCCTGTAAAATAAACGCAAACACGAAAGACATATAAAACACGGAAATAAAAGCAGGAAACTCCATTTCTTTCTTCTTTTGACGAAAGCTACAAACAGTGATCCAATTTTAGCTGAACCCAATTGAGAAAAAAGTTATTCTTCTGATTAGATCAGAACCCATTTATGGTAAAAGCTAGGTAGGTGCGGTTACTTTCTTCCGCTGCACGTCAACAAAAATGCAATTTTTTTTTTTTTTCGGAAAGTTCAAAAGCATGAGCGCGATTAGAAAGATAAAAGAGGGAACATGAGCTAAGAACCTGAAATTCGATGATTTTTATCTGGGGTTTCAAAGAAATAAGCCGTGGAATTGAAGGGCTTGATTGATTTGGGGATTTATTCTCCAAGAAAGCTGTAAAGCGAGCAGGTTACATTAGACTGAGCTGCAGAGCTGCGCAATGAGTTGCAAATCTCAGGACGAAGAGACGATTGGGGCATTATTGTCATTTAGTATATTTTGAGAGAGCTCTTTGAAATCTTCTTTATAAAATGTTTTTTTTTTTTTTAATAAAGAAAAAGTATTAAAGATTTTTTTAATAATGGTTATGAAATGAAACAAAAGATATTATTATAAACTCAAAAAATATGTCATCTCTTTTTTTTTTTTTTTTTTCAAATGTCATACGCTTATTTTTTTATAGATTTGTTATTAAATATATTTTATTTCTCAACTACTTTTTTTAAATACTTACCAAATTATTTTCAATAATTTATTTTAATATAATTCACAACAAAGTATTAAATTTAAAATATATGAATAAAGATAAGTTGATATTGGATATCGAGATATTAAAAGAGACAAGTCGCTTGTGACTTTTGCTCAACTGATTTATGTAGAGCTTATTTAAGCGAACTTGATTTGTTAAGACTCGAACTTTATTTTTAATATTAACAAACGAGTCGAGATTGAACTCGTTTATTGAATCATTTTGTTAACTAAGCGAGTCGGCTTGATAACAAATTGAACTTGAATATCATAAACCTGAGATTAGTTCAATTCGACTTATTTATACACAACAATATTTACAAGTATAGAAAAAAAAAATGGAAAGAGAACACGTGCAAACCAAACCAACAAATAAAATGTGTGACGATTATAACAAACTAGTATTCGATCATGTGCATGTGCACAGATGCAAATACAATTTTATATGTTATATATATGTGTATATAATATTTAAAATCATAAGTTAGATAAAAGCATATCACATTTTACAAATTTTATCATTAGTAAAAATAAACGATAAACTATTAACTTACATATTAGTTTTTATATCGATTGCAGTTATATAATTTTTGCTATACTTTTTTAATATGAACAATTGACTAGATAAAATAATATTGAAATAATTATTATTATTATAGTATCAAAATTTTGAAAATTTTGGTTATATCATAAAAATTAAATAACTAATGTTGATAAAAACACTTGCTTAATGAGTTAAAACCAAAAAAAAAAAATCAAATAAATAATTTGAAAAAAATTTAAAATAACAATTCCATTTAATGTGGTTTTATGATTTGTTAGGAGTAATTGCTATATAATAAAAGAAATAAAAAAATATAAATACTTAATTAATCCAAAGTAACCTCTTTTGGGGGAAAAATTGAGGTTTTATTAAATGCATATGAGCTACTAATTATATATATCGCCCCTATATATAATTCTCGGATGACGCTGAGTCTACGTGGCTGCTTCTGGTGCTTCGGAATCCTATTTGGCGAAAAATCATGCTTCGTAATTAGGTTCAGACAAATAATATTGATATATTAATAATTAATATATAGTTTCGGACATTCCATAAATATTATTGAGCTAACTTAGGTATTTTAATATCACTTGTACTAATATAACCCTTTAATTCTTTGTAATTTTACATAGTGAAACACTAAGTGATTAATATATCTCTGACTTTTGATTTATTTCCTTCAATTAGCTATTAAATTGTAAATATATTTTAAAAGTTGATAACTTTTGTATTTCTTATCGGTTTTACATATATAATATATCAAATTAATCATCTTTTCATTATTTTCGATCTGACATCCATATTGTATATATAAAATAAATAAATAATATTTACTTTTATAATAATAAAAAATAATATTTATTAAATTTTATTAGAAAAATAAAATTATTTCTCAGTTGATATATTTTTGTTTAATGTAGTTGGATGTTAGAAGTTAAAAAAAAATTATTATAATATAACACAAGTAAGTCACAAAAATAAAAAGTGTTATACTAAATATATAATAATACATATTTTTCATAAAAGTTATTTAAATTTTCAACTACTTTTTCTCAATTATTTTAGATTTAAAAAAAAAAAATTAACAAACACCGGTGTAATACACGGGCGTTGTACTAGTATATCCTCCCTATATATAATTTCAGAATGCGCTGAGCCTACGTGGCTGCTTCTGGTGCTTTGGAATCCTATTTGGCGAAGAATCATGCTTCGTAATTAGGTTTGGATAAATAATATTGATATATTAATAATTAATAATCTAGGTTCAGATATTTTAAAAATATTATTTAGCTAATTTAGGTATTTTATTATCTCTTTTACTAATATAACCCTTTAGTTCTTGGTAATTTTACATTGTGAGACACTAAGTGACTAAAATATCCCTGAATTTTGATTTGTTTCCTTCAATAAGCTATTGAATTATAAATGTATTTTAAAAGTTGATAACTTTTGTATTTTATCGGATTTACATATATAATATATCAAATTAATCATCTTTTGATGATCTTCGATTTGACATCCATATTGTATATATATGAAATAAATAAATTATATTTATCTTTATAATAATAAAAAATAATAATATTTATTGAAATTCTTTAGAAAAATAAAATTATTTTCAATTGATATATTTATATGTAATGTAGTTATATATTGTAAGTTAAAAAATATTAGTATAATATAACACAATAAGTTGTACAAATAAAGAGTGTCATACTAAATATATAATAATATATACATATTCTTATAAAAGGTACTCAAATTTTCAAACTACTTTTTCTCATTAATTTTAGATTTTAAGAAAAAAAGTTAGCAAACACCCGTGTAATACACACGGGTGTTGTACTAGTGTAGATTATAAGCAAATAAATGTATCAACTTCAACTCGGTCAACAAATTTCACGTGGCACACTATATTCCCGGTCTGCCGGTCAGACATCTCCACTGTATCCCACTCCCATCATATCCGCCCGCATCACTGTGTTGTACTTGTACCCCGATCATTAATTAGTATTTACGCTTCAGCAGTTTGTACACTGTTCAAACCAATGGAAAAAATGAAAAATTTCACATGATAACGCTTTAGCAGTCGTATATATATTCCCACAACTTTTCGTTCAGTTCAAGTCGTCAGATCTCAAATTCATTTTGTGTTTTGTTTCAATTTCCAATTGATCAAGAACAATTAAAAGTGATATTTGGGTCTTTTTTCAGACAATTGTGACTTGTTTTTTTATTTTACTTTTTTGGGTATGATTTTTAAATCGTTGATTATGATTAGGGCGCGGCGGGCTGAAGGGTTGGGTTACATAGACCCCGAACCTGCACGGGGTAGTTTCAATTCCAAGTCGTCTTTGGACTTGTGGTCGACGGGTTTACTCGAGTCGGGTCTGTGCTGGGCTGGCGAGCCGGATGGCTCGTGGCTACGTCTAAATTTTGGTAACTGCAATGCTTAAATTTGATTAACCCAAGTTGTTTGAACCTTTTTTGGATTTCAACTATTTAATTGAGCATGAATATATATATTTTTTTCGTTTGCAATACAAAGCTATAGAAAATTATGATGCCATCACTTAGCTTGAACTTGTTATTATTTTCTTTTTTGTTGAAAAATTAGTGGATTAAGTTAGATTAGGGCCAAATTAGTGTAGTTTATTTATTTATTTATTTATTTATTAACAACTAGTACGGAGCTCGTGCAATGCACGGGGTTAATTATATTTGTCCCTTTTAAAAAACAAATGTCAATTACAATTCAAAATACTTACTAACAGAAAAATTATGTCTCCTAATAAAAATAATTGTATACTCAAATTTATATATTATTTTAAATTAATTAAAAATAGTTATTTAAATTTTAATAATAATTAAAATATAGAGGCCAACTTATTGATAATAAGATAATATTTATTACCTCGACATACTCAAATAGAGAATCAACAGAACTAACAATGATGTCACCGTCATCAAGACTTTGAAATTCGGTCTTCACAATGATTGAGCTACTTGAAACCAACTTGGTATCCTTAACTTTACTTGTCGCCAGCCTTGATAGACAATTAAAAAATAACATTAAAATAAATAGTTTTTGATATACAATACAATTATCAATAAAATTGTATTTATATACTAACAAATAACATATACCTTCTCCGAAATTCTTGAATTTCAGGGACGTCTACACCAATGATCAAGGTCACATCCTTTGACATGCTTATTTGAACATCACCTATTACATAAAATATTTTAATATTCAATCCAATAGACAT